TCTATCTCTCTCTCTCTCTCTCTCTCTCTCTCTCTATATATATATATATATATATATATAATATTATTCATTATTATTTGTGCACTTATTAATTTTTTATTTACAACTTTTTATTTTCATGTTTTTATAATCATATTTTAAAAAATTATTTTAATGACATTATTTGTGCATTTTAATATTTATATTTTTATAGAATTTCCATGTTTCTAGATTCAAATTTTAATATTCAAAAATTATTTAAATAACACTACCGTTCACTCATTTATTTATTTTTAATTATTATATTTAATTTATTTAAAAAAAACATTCAAACAACATTACTTTTATTTACAACTTTGTATTTTCATGTTTCTAGATTCATATTTTAACATTTAAAATGACTTAAATGACAATTTATGCGCTTTTATTTTTTCTGGGTAAAAGTGCAGAATGAAACACTAAATCCACGTTTACATGGTACATAAGCCGCTTCTGAGCCGGCTTTGCAGTGTAAAGATGGCATTAGAGGATTCTTGTATGATTGCATTTGCTTCCACATTATGATAGATACTCCAATAGGAAACCAGCACATCTGTATTGGAGATTTTTTTGGACTAAAGTGCTATTTTGAATACTGGAACTCAATGCACTTATTATCTGAAATGATGACATGCATTGCAACAAGCGCTACACAAATAAACGTGCACTGAATTGAATTCGCACTTGGTCACTTGACATTTATACCTCATTATCACGTGCGCCCATCCACACCTCACACCATTCGCCCTTGCAACAATAATATTAACACTATAGCACTGCCGTTTACATGCTCGCCGTGTTTCATTGGCTCTGCGCCTCCACAATAGCCATAATCCGACTTGGACGAGCGGGAGACTCTTACCATGAGCACGGCGAGGTTGTTGTGGTGCGCGCAGTGGATGGTGGTCGTGTTGTGCGCGGAGCCCGTTATGTGGCAGCCTTCCGCGCGCCAGCCGCCGTGTCCATCCAGCAGGTCAAAATCCCAGTATGCCGCGGTGGGGTCTACACCCAACGAGAAGTGCCGGAGAGCGACGGTAACCGGCTGCACGGGGCTCCCGGGGCTACACCCATCTGCACAGGAGAGCAACACATTGCGTCAAGTAACGAACCGAGTGGAAAGTCCTCAAGTGTTGCATGCATTTGGAAGCTGATGCATGCAATCACGCACATGCACATCTCAGAATTTAACAAATGAGATGAGTTGCGCACGCAAACGAGCTTTATACAACTCGTGCACAATTGCAACGCAACAGTTGCACCATCGTGCAAGCACGCGCGCGCTTTCTCATAATTGCGTGTGACGCTAACGACAACATATTCCATTGCAAAACACTTTAGTGGTGAAACGCAGTGATATATAGGATGCACGGATGACATGCATGGGGAAAATCAAAGCCTTACCTAATTTGGTGAATGCAACTGGTGTCGAAACGCTTCTGCGCTTGCCATCGTCCGCAAGATTTGACGAATTCCCCGTGCACGGAAAGAGTTTTCCATTGCGGAAGACGATCAGCTGCAGCTTACAGGTGCAGTTCTCCACAGACCGAGGGGTAGCCAGCGGGAAATGTATGGAGGCGATGGCCACCGTGTTCTGCAAATGGAGAAACGCATATGAGATGTGCATCAGATGCGCAGACGCGCGTCAGCTCCGGTCTGATTGAGAGAGAAGGGCAAAGTGCTGGAGGAAGCAGGGGTTTCTGCTTGTCTTTGGTCTGCCGCAGAGGTGGAAATGATTGTGAGCAGCACAGCTCACTACAACATCAGCATAAGAGCAGTCTGATAACACAGCACAGAAGCACAGGGGTTATCAGCATCATCAGCCTGAGAAGAGCTTCTCCTCTTTATCTGTTAGGATATGTCAGTGTCTACTGCAGATACTGAAGGCGAAGAAAAACATGTTGTTTTGGCCTCTGAAAACACATTTAAGATTAAAGCTATAAGCAGATGTTAATGCAGAGAGAGTGTTTTTGCAAAGACATTTTAAAAGCAAAAGATGTGCTAAAATGACTAGGTTGGGTTGAAAACCATTTCATGACCAAAACTGGCCAGATAAATTGGAGAAAAATCATTTTCTACTCGGCTTGATAAACAACAACAACAACAATAATAATAAAATAGTACCACTGGATAGTACTATTTAAAACATCATAAAACAATCTAATAATAAACAGTAAAAATAAAAATATTTTACTAAAAATTTAAATTCCATAAAATTTGTTAATAAAAATATATAATAAAATACATTGGATAGTACCACTTATAATAATTGCAATAAATAAGTAAACAACCCATTATTTTTTGAACATTGTGCAAGCCCATAAAAACGAATTATAATAAAATATATAATAAAAGAAAAAGCACTAAAAAGAAAAGAAAAGAAAAATACTACTTTAATATAATAAAAGTACTATCACTGGATAGCACCACCCATAATAACTGATAATAATCATAACAACTTGATAATAAGCATGATTTTTTCTTTCAACATTTTGTGTAATCCCATAAAAATGTATTATAATAATAAATATAAAATAAAATGTAATATAATAAAAAAAAAAATAATACTTTCCAGTAGAATCACTGGATAGTCCCACTTGCAAAAATTGGTAAATAGGTCATAATACACTTGTGATGTTGTGTAATTCCCATAAAAATATATAAGAAAAGGATACATTCCATATATATATATATACATACATAATTGGTAAACAAATAAATATACATTAATTAATATATAATCCCTAATAACCCATGATTTTTTATTTGAACATTTTGTGCAATCCCTGTTACATTTAAAACATTTTTAGTTACAGTTACAGTTACAGGCTGGAAACCCCCATCAAATCAGACAACATGATGAAGAGAGATAATTCAGCCTTTAGAGAAGTACAAATGTCTGCTGCAGCTCATTTCCAGCGGTTAGAGAGTCTGAGAGTCTCTGTTACCATAAGAACCTGTCAATGTCCGAAAGCTTTCAGACTGGAGCGCAGCGGCTCTGATATAAGCTCGTGTGTAATGAGTGCCTGTGCTTGGAAAGAAAGCCTGCCGTCAGCATCCGTCTGCTCCGGGAAGAGAGAAATCAGTCTGTCGAGCAGCCAGGAGTTTCATTCACAAAACCAGTCATGGTGTGATTTCCATACGTGACTCACGGCTTTTACCCAGCGTGCACTGCAGCATCCCAATTACATTCCAGCAGCTCTTCAATGCAGCACTCACATCTACAGCACATACGCTTAATCTGAATGAAGGATGACATTTATTTGAATTTGTCTCCATGAGACATCTCTCCTTTCACGCTGACTGTAAATGTTTCAGAAAAAGCATCAGGCTCGTTCTCAGTGGATTGTTCAGTGTTTATGAAGGCGACGTTCAGCACCAAGGACAGCAGCCAAACGAGTCTTTTTGAAGGAAATGCTTCCATTATTGTTGGAAAACAATATATAGCTTGATTTGAACAGGTTATACATTTATTATCATAATACACACGGTTTACAAAGAATAACTAGTGATCAATTCAAAGGAAACAGTGACAAAAACTCCTTAAGATGTTTAAGTAGAGGAGGAAGATATCAAGATGTCTTATATAAGCCTATTTAACCCTATAAAGCCTGATATATGAAATAATAGTCCTCCATTAAAAAAAAAAAAAAAATGGAACGGTTTATTGAAGCTTTAGACAAAATAATCTCTTTGATGCATCAGGCTTTTATGGCTCATATAACCTGATATAGTGAGAATATGAAGTATTTCATTCAGAAATATGCAATTTGGTGCAGATGCTGATATTTCTATGATGACATTCTGCTGCTTGTGATGTAAATCAATGAGATCTTTATAGCAGTGCAGCAGATACTGACATAAAATGATCTAAATATCAGTGGTCGCTCTATATCTCCAGTAATATGTCTAAAAATAAGATGAGATTGAAATGATCCAGACATATAATGCAATGATTGAGAAATGAAGAAATAAAGGCTCCTCCGAAGAATAACTTCAGAAATAGTGAAAGCACGACACTGCATATTGATTTCAATTAATGCAAAATGTAGTTAGAATTTTTTTTTGTATTGCATATAACATTCAGATGCAATGCTGATGAATGTGCACACGCACATAAACTCATGTTCAAATAAACAAACATTTAGAAATAAGAAAATGCATGGATTAATAAAGTTGATATTTTGAATGCAAAGCAAGTATATGCATAAATGCATTTGTATAAAATTATTAACATTCATTTACGTTTTGTATTCTTCTAGAAATCACAGAAAATCACACTGTATTTTCGTTTGGAGGTCTGAACTTACAGAAATTATTCAAATTTAAGACAGTAGATGTTTAACACCAACATGAAAACAAGCATTGAAATGCATTAGTTACTAGCATAACCCATGTGTTTCAGTGCCGGTTCTGTTGCTCCTTAGCACATTTAATCAAACAGACTTTGCACTACATGCACTTCATTTGCGTAAACCCTAAACTGAAGTGCTGGTAGCAGCAGCAGTTTTTAACAACATGAAGCAGCTCTTTGAGAACGCAGCAGAGGCTGTAACAGCGAGAGCGTAACATCAAAATGAAAGAGACTAATTTACAAAGCTCTCCTCTCTTTTTTGCACTTGGAGAATTCGTGTTGTGTTACTCAGAGAAAGATAAGAAAAAAAACGTTGTCATGCCAACTGGCTGCTCTACCATTACAATGTCTGGACTAAAGAGGAGTTGTCTCTGCAAAACATCACCAACATACAGTGTTTCTTCCTTTCTTTGGATAAAAGCATCTACAAAATGCATAAATGTACATAAATGTGTCTAGGATTTTTACCCGTATTTTCTGGTCCAGCAGGAGAAAATGGTGCATCTAGGTATTTAACAGGATGGTATGACTTGAAACAAATGTCCAAATAACTGTGGTACTCGAATATACAATGTAGTATCTTCTGCTCTCCAAGGCTGCATTTATTTGATCAAAAATACAGTAAAATTGTGAAATATTATTACAATTTAAAACAGCTGTTTTCTATGTGAATATCTGTGAAATGTAATGTATTTCTGTGATGCGCAGCTGTATTTTCAGCATCATTCCTCCAGTCTTCAGTGTCACATGATCTTCAGAAATCATTCTAATATGCTGCTTTGCCGCTCAAGAAACATTTCTGATTATTATCAATGTTGAAAACAGTTGTGCTGCACAATATTTTTGCGGAAACTGTGATATATTTTTCCCATGATTCTTTCGTGAATAGAAAATAAACAACAGCATTTATTTAAAATGGCTTTTTTTTGTTTGTAACATTATAAATGTCTTTACTGTGATCGATTTAATTAATCAAATTTTATTATTTTTTCTACTTAAGTACTCAATTATCAATTATTATTGGTACTTAATTATTAATAAAGTTTCTTACTATTATCATCAATGCCGAAAACAGATTCTGCTGCTTATAATATTTGTAAAAACAAAAGATTTTTTGAGGATTCTTTGATGAATAGAAAGTTCAAAAGAACTGCGTTTATTTGAAATTTGAAGTTTTTTTGTAGCATTATAAATGTCTTTACTGTCACTTTTGATCAATTTAATGCATCCACAAAAATATTGTGCAGCACAACTGTTTTCAACATTGATAATAATCAGAAATGTTTCTTGAGCAGCAAATCAGCAAATTAGAATGATTTCTGAAGATCATGTGACACTGAAGACTGGAGGAATGATGCTGAAAATACAGCTGCGCATCACAGAAATACATTACATTTCACAGATATTCACATAGAAAACAGCTGTTTTACATTGTAATAATATTTCACAATTTTTACTGTATTTTTGATCAAATAAATGCAGCCCTGGTGAGCAGAAGAGACTACAAGTTACATATTCACTTCATTTACAGTGTCAAAGGGAAGATTTAATCTTATATTACTCTCGCTTATCATTAGAGGACTAAAAAAAGGCCACGGCATGAGAGATGGAGCCCATAAAACCCCAGCGATGGAACAGGATGGATGAAGCTCTCGGTTTATTTAAAGAAGTCTTTTCTGTCATCAATTTCCCACAGATACCAGTGCTTTCATGTGCTTTTATGAATCATTCTGAGCCAGACATGATGAAAGCAGATGAGTTTCAGCGCAGGAACATCATTCAGCACCGGGATTCCTGGACGAGAGTCTCCCGAGGGCGTTTCTCCAGACCGTTTAGTATGAATTATCTAGCAGGGATCTCCACAACTACTGAAATCCACTAGTCAGTGGGTAATCTAAGTGACTAGTTGGACTTAAGGAACCCCTGGATAACCACGCAAGTTTAGAGCCACTAAAAACACATCAGCTGGATAATAAAGGGCTGGGTGATACCGTAAGTTTGGATGATAATCGAGAGATAAATATTTTTCCATTTGCTTTGGAACATTTTTTAAAAAAGGTGTTTTTGGTTACAAGGTGTATTTGTTACAAAATACATACCGTTTACTGCAAAATCAACACTATGGATCACTCACAGTGAGGTTTTATATATTTTTTACTAATATTTTGAATTAGTTTTTATATCTTGTTTTCATTTTAATTTTTGTTAAAGTTTTAGTAACGTTGTTGTTTTTTGTTGTC